AGATTGTACACTGTTTCTTTTTCAGCATGCTATTACAGAGTCTTACCCTGGGTGAAAATGGTGATCTTGAGGTGTGTGCGATATCTATCTATTTGTAATATATATATATTGTAACTTTTACGAACTATTACACTGTTTAATAACTTTTAATTGAATGATTATTTTTCAAAACTCACCGTTAGATTGAAAATTTCTTTTACTAAGATCATATATACAAAATTTATATTAATCTAAAATTATTAGATACCTTGTTCATATAAATCAAAATTGACACACATATTCCAAAGTATAATAAAATATGAATAATTTGATTATCATCTTATTATTATTTAATTTTAACAAAATTTGACATAAACATTTAAGGTAATATGAAGTTATAATTCAATAGTTAGATCTACAAAATTTACTTTTTATATAAAGTTATTGATTATTGATGGTGTAATAATTGGTAATAGTTAAACAATTGTAATTCGATCTCTTCATATATATATATATATATATATATATGGGTTGTTTCAAATGAGAATTAAGAACTACTACCTCTAGTCTTAATTATAAGCAATAAGTTGGATTTTCTTTGATCCTAATTATAAGCAATAATCATTAGTTTTAAAAGTTATTCAAGGGTAAATTTCTTTTATGCCCTTAATTTATTGTTAACTCTACTTTTTATGCATTCATTTATAACAAGAATTAAATATAATATCCATTTAAAACAAAAGGTATCTTTGGAATGGAATTTGAATTTGTGGTATAATTAATTAAAAACAACCAACTTAATTACTTTTCTTGATCTTGATGATTTATCTTATGTTGCTTATAATTTAGGACCAGAGGTAGTATTAGTTATAGCCTTTAGATTTCTGTTAAAAACAATCAACGACCAAGACTAAAAACTGGATGGATGAATTTAGGGTTCTGAAGAAGAAGAATGCTTTGCAGGTATATTAGGTGAGAGAATTGAAACCTGTGAGAGAGGAACCTATATTACTATACCTTCTCATTTGAAAGGTGAGTGAACATGAATTGTGGTAAGATGTCATAGAGGAGAGAATATGAACATGAGTTATTACGGGTAGGGTAGAAGATAGGAGAGGCACATACATTTACTTGAAGGAGGGTTTTAATTTTGGTCCTTGATTGTTTTTAATTGAAATCTAAAGGCTAAATTAGTAGTAATCATTTCTTATTTAAAGCAAACCCTATATATATATATATATATATATATATATATATATATATATAATATATTTG